AAATGTTAGATATTCGAAAATATAATCTTCTTTCATAATCAAATTTTGAATATTAAGCAATAGCTTAAGGATGCCATAAGCATAATGCAGAGTGTCAGAATGGCATCCATCAAGGAGAGGTAAAAAGAGGTAAAAGACTTACAAGTCTTAACAGAGAATAGTCCACACACGTTTGCTGTGGCATCCGAGGCTCGATCCATGCAGTTTTCTTTTTGGGAATGTTGATAAGGGTGTGGGCTATGGTACTCCTTTTGGCGGTTCATCAGCATGTTTACAAGGTCCATTTATCTTTTTGTAGATTGATCACACGAGGGATGCAAGAAATTCAAGAAATGCGCGTGAATCCAGGTAGATTAGGGTTCTATGATCCTAGGGTAGTTTTGGCGCTCTCCACTCGCAGATCGCCGACCTCACGACGCGATTCGGTGTCAAGTTCTTGTTCTCCAGCCGCAAGTTCGTCATCGGCGACGCATCGCTCTTCTGGAGCCAGCGAATGATCGCGTCATACTCGTACGTGTATCCGTCCGACGCGATCACAGGGTATTCCATCACCTCCTGGAAGACGAAGAAATATTTCAAGAGGATGGAGGAATTCCAGGATGATTACCTGGAGAATCGGGCACAGGAAGAGCGTTGGAGCCGCGGATTTCGGTCGCTCCTCGCTGCGAAACAGATGATTCATCGTCTCGAGCATCTGCAACACGTTTTCCAGCTCCGGCCTGTTCTTCCTCTGGACCTCGGCGCAGTTTAGACCAATGCAAGCCAGCTGCGTCGCGGCTGCCAGCGGCCACTCTCCAGCGCTAGTGTCGAGGATCTCCATCAGGTGTCCCTGATCCACGGCAGTGGAAACTTTGTGGATGATTCCAACCGGGCTCGTCGCGGTGAGGAGCTGGAGCAGGATGATCCCAAACGCAAACACGTCCGACTTTGCATTGAAGCTGCCTTCCCGCTGGTACTCCGGATCGATGTACGCGAACGTTCCCACAGGTGATGTGCTCCTCACGCTTGTCGCGTCGCCTGGCATGAATCTTGCCAACCCAACGTCGCTGATCTTACTGTTGTAGTTTTTGTCTAGCAGGATGTTGGAAGGCTTGAGGTCCCGGAGCACGATCGGCTGTGGCTTTGCCTTGTGGAGGAAGAGGAGCGCTGTGCCGACTTCCACCGCAATCTGGTACCTCGTGAGGCATGAGATTGGCGGCGAGTCGTCCTTGCAGAACAGTCGATCTTCCAAGCTCCCGTTTTCCAGGTACTCGTAGACAAGGCATTTCTTTTCCGGATTTCCGCCTAGCAGTAGAACGATGTGAGGATGGTGTAGTCGGCTCAGCACTTCCACCTTTATTTTCCCATGCTTGTTAGAGATTTTAGAAATTCGAGTGAGTTTACGTACCTCTTGTTCGAACTCTTGTGGTCCTTGCCAACTATCATGTCTTAGAACCTTGACTGCTACGTTGGTCCTGTGGAGAGTGCCTTTGTAGACGTGACCGTATGATCCCTCTCCTATTTTGTTGTTCTCAGAAAAGTTGTCTGTGATGTCTCGGAGTTCCTCAAACGTGAATTGTGTGTACTTGAGCAGTTGTTGCCTGTTGGCCTCTCTCTCAGCTTCTGCTTTACATTGGAGCTCTATCCTGTTTTCCATTTCCTTCCTTCTCCGGATTTCGTCCACCAGTGCTTTTTTCATCGAGTTGACAAGCGTGAGAGCTTCAGCACGCTTCTGCGATTCCTCATCTAATTTCTTTGCTGCGTTATACTCTCGCTGATTGTCCTCCTCGACCGCTCGCATCAATATTTCCGCCTGGAATGCCATGAAATCGTAAGACTTTTGACGATAGCATCTCCAGTTTACCCGTTTTAAAGCCCAATCAGCGTTCTCGCGAGCTTCCTGGCTCCGTAGTGTTTCAGCGTCGGCAGATTCTTTTGCTTTGTTTGCAGCCACGATGGCATTTTGTAACTGCTGCTTGAGCATGTTTATTTGCTCCAGATCTCCAGCCTGCACGAGAGAGTCAGAACAAAATGCTGTTCTTGTAAATCTAACCTTGGGATCCGCAGGCAGGGGCTCGCTGATGATACTACTGGGCGAAGACTCTGCGAATTCTTCTTCAGTGCGAAAGGCTGGTGGCACAACTTTTAGTTCCGGCGTTTGAGGTTGGTAGCTTCCTTCAGCGATCTCATCCTTACTGTCACTGCTTCGCATTGATAGGTGACTTTTCAGCGGAGAGGTCGATACCATGAGAATTTCGCGATTCAAAGCGTCAGCTTCCAGCCAGCTAGAGGATGGAGACGGAGATAAGGGGAAAATGAATTTGTCCGCCACACTCGGACGAGCAGGAGATGAATTTGTACGAGGGAATGAGTGCGGTGGTGAAGCATTCCTGAATGACGCCAATTTCGAGGATTTCGATATGCACTGCACAGTACAGTAATCTGGAGCATGTTTCCGAACGTAGTCTGAAACTCCCGACCTCAATCTCCTGATGAAAGGAACTAAAACCGTGTGTCACATTGCAGGAAACAAGCTTGCTTACTTACAGAAGGTTTGTTCGGGACTCTCCAAGAACGAATGTTGTCACTTGGTACTTCTCAATTTGCTCCACCAAAGACTTACCAACATCGTCGCTCTCTACGAGAACGAATTCTGCTTTCACCTGTAAGTCAAGTGTTTCCTTTGAGTTTTCAGCAAGCCGATCGGACCTCATAACGTCTGCAGACATTTTGCAGCTCCTGAGAGAAGTCCGCTGTCTTGGCCTCCTTGGTTGCCATATACGCTGCAAGTTTTTCCTTCGAAACTTGCGAGACAGGTACTCTCCCAACTTACACAATTTGTTAGATGCAAGTGATGTTTCTAAAGAGTGACTTACCAGGAGTTGTAATTGTTCGGACAACAGATCGGACATGGAACAGAAGAAGCTCCCCGTTCCTCTCTACTGCATTTTCTAGCGTCCACTTCAGCACTACCCCAGAGCGAGCATCAGGGACCAACGCAACACCCGTTTTGTGTAAAGGTACCCCGTAATCCACTTCCATTCCTTCTATTTCCTCAATTTCCATAGCTGCTCGTTAACCTTTTCTTTGCATCCCCAGGCAATTGGGAACTCTAGAGAAAATGATAGTCTAGAGCACATCGCTCTAGACTGTATCGAGCATATCTGGATATGCTTCAAGACGATTCCACGTCTTGACTTTCTACGTCTTACTTTAAAGACGAAGTACCTGGGCAACAGCCGCCACCGACGGGAATCAACAGCCTTCGTAGTCTCCAGACAATCTCTGCAAAGGTGGGCCGTTGATCCGCTTTCTTATGCCAAGCAGCTTCGATCAGCTCCGGCAGAAATTTCTCGGTACTGTTGCTTGGAAGGGCGGGCCGAAGATCTTCGTAGGCCACAGAAAGAGCTATCTGTCCAGGAAGCGTGAAGAAGTGGAATGTGAGACTGAATCCGGAGAAATCCTACCTGCAGAGGCCCCGAGGACAATTCTACGTAAGGTGGTTCTCCTGTCGCAAGCTCGCATAGAATCACACCGAAACTACAAACGAAAACAACGTAAGCAGCTCATACATTCTCTAGAAACTTGACTCACCTGTAAACATCGCAGCTTCCATCATACGGCTCGTGACGAATGACTTCCGGTGCCATATAAATATATGTTCCTGGATAAAACGGTAACGACGGGACCTGAAAGGGAAAGCTTTTACCAGTCTCTCCAGTGAGTGACTTCTCATCGTCCTGCAGAAAACGCCCAAAACCCAAGTCCGCAACTCGAGCGTGAAGGCCGTCATCGAGAAATATGTTGCTGGGCTTCAAGTCGCGATGGACAACCCGAGGTTTAAGTTCGTGAAGGTACTGTCAAGAAGAGAAGCGATTCAACCATCTCGTAACTAATCCTGTTTTTACAGAGCGTACCTGCATTCCAAGAGCGACTTCCAGTGCCACACGCAAGCGAGAACGCAGGGGAGGAAGAGGATGGCTTCTTTGCTTGCGACGCTTCTTATCACCATGCAGCCATTCCGTCAAAGTGAGTGGAAAGTATTCGGTGACGATCCACGCGTGCTCGGGAGGGCGAAGGCAAGCGGCCAGCAAGCGTATGACGTATGGGTGACGATTTCTGGAGAGGAGCTCAACTTCTTGACAAAATCTACTAAAGCTTTCCTGCCGCAGAACAAGAATTTCGTAAGGAGACCCCTGATTTTAAAGACATTTTCTACTGACCGTATCTTGGAAAGAATGAGGCTGGATGCATTTGACTGCCACGTCCAGACCGTGCCAGATGCCGCGGACTGTAACGGAGCTCGTCCCTTTCCCAAGCGGATCTTTGAGCTCCACCTGAGGACCAAACTCAACTGGTAAACAAGTCTCCCTATTTTCGTTTTCTACCTCTGAGCTTGAACAGGCCCATCCATTTTGCTCGGCTTCGCACTGCAGCAACTGGAGCCGCTCGAAAGTTCTCTCCGGCTGCTGCGGCTCTTGCTGCTGCTCTTGCTGCAAATCGAGAGGCTTAAAACTCGAAGCTCTCCGCTGGTGCGTGACAAGCTCCTGGCATTCCCTCAGGGCGTCCCCGAGCCTCAGCGCTTGCGACTTGAAAGCATGTTTGAGCTCCCTCTGGGCTTCTCTCTCGCGCTCCAAGTCCGTCACCTGCAAAGGAAAAAAAAAAAAAAAACTCTTTAGGCAGAGGAGAAGAAATTTTGAGAACCTGCTTCTCAAGTTTTTTAACTTCATCCTTGAGTGACAAAATCTCCAGATCCAGAGAACCACCCTGTAAGCAAACCATGGAATTAAACTCATCGCGAAGCTCTTTAGCTTACTTGCTGCGGTTGTGAGCTGCTGCGTCTAAACCACGACATGGTCACAACAGGAACAAAGAAAAGAATTTGGAGCATACCACGACAAGGCTGTGGCATTGGAAGGCACGATAGCCGCGGCATACTAAGATCAAAATTTTCAAAGCTTTGCATTAACGAGCAGCGAGCGCAGTACATAAAACCACGAAAGCTTAGCTTAGCTTAACTTGTTCGTCTTCCGTAAGCCTCTTCTTCAGCCCATCAGGTCTGGAAAACGAAGAAAAAACATTATCCAAGCAAAGAGAGATCAAAACAAAAGAGCAACCAAGGAAAATGGTAAGCCAAAACTAGTGGAATGAGAAGCTGGAAAGCAAAACAAACGAGAAAGAAAAAAACTTCTTTCTGACAGAACAAAGAACCAAGAAAGACCAAAGGCCGCGATGCCCATCTTGTGCTGCGAGAAGTATCACACTGGAATGAACCTTTTGGATTGAGCCCGCTATTTTGTTTGTCTTCTGCAGAGATGGTGGCTTTGTTCAATATTACCTCATTGTATTGTTTAAAATGACGGTAGAGGTAGTGTTGATCAAAGGCACCATCTCCACAAAACACAAACAAAATAGTAAGCAGACATCCGAAGTGCAACAAAACCCAGAATGAAAAAGGAAACGAGTGAGGGCAGCTTATATTGCCCAGAGAGTACTCTCAGTCATCGATGCCAAAGCAGATGCGAGCATGCTCTACTTGACCACATATTCTAGAATTCGTGCGAGACTAATGTTTGAGTGTGTGAGCAAAAGTAGCATCGGAATGGCGACCGTTCCCGTCGTCTATTTCAATCCGCTGCTCATTCGGCAGAATGAGAGAGGACTCGGCAGATGGTCTCCATGCGCTGCAGCGCTGGATCAGCAAGATGCCCTGAGAGGGAATCTAAACCGATGCAGCAACTGTTTCTGGAGATGGCAGGGGGCAGCATTGTGTCCTAAGAATTTCCACGCATTGCTATGAAATGCGTGGAAAACTCAATACATCAAGATCCATCCTAGGAAGATCCCAAAGCAAGATAGCCTCTCGTGGAACGCGGTGGTGTTTACATATGCCCGTCCCCGGTATCTTGCTCGAGATGGTAGATGCCATGACAAACGACTCCAGGGCAAACACAAAAATCCAGAAGAAAAAACTCAATGCGGATTTGTGATGAATAACTGGGATCTTACTCTATATCCCAACCATTCAGTCGGAGATGTATCCTCACTATTCCTGCGAAAGTGGAGTTTTAGTGTTTCAAAAGTTTAAGAAAGGTGACCAGTCTGCGTGAAAGATCTTGCTGGTTTAATCACCGTTCGAGCTCGCTCCTTAGATAACCTGGCGCGCTCCAATCCGCCACATTGGAAAAAGAAAAAGAGATAGAGCTTGGCGAGTTTGTTTGGATTAATAGTACTGGCAACATCTTGGAAGACCCGGCATAGAGAAGCTGGAAGAAAGTTTACTGCTAAATGGAAGAATGTAACATACTTTTAAGAGGCCAGCCTCGACAAAGCGTTTGATCTCTCAGTTTCCGGATCAGTGTTTGTAGGAGGCGCATTGACAGCAAGCCTCTTCCGGCTAGCGGATCTTCGTAGGCCACAGAATGAGCTATCGGTCCATCATACGGCTGAGGTGATATATGTCCTAACCTGAAAGGGAAGGAGCTCAACCTCTTTCCTGCCGCAGAACAAGCATTCGTAAGTGGACTTCTTCATTTGAAAGACTGTTTTTTGTTCTACTGATCGGATGCATTTGACAGCCACTTCCAGACCGTGCCAGAGCCGCCGACTGTAACAGAGCTCGAGGATCAAATAACAAGTCTCTCTATCGGTTCTCTGCATTTTTCTACCTCTGAGATTGAACAGGCCCATCCATTCTGCTCTGCTTCGCACTGCAGCAACTGGAGCCGCTCGAGAGTTCTTTCTCCCTGCTTTTGCTGGTGCGCTTGCTGCAAACCGAGAGGTTTCTCGAAACTCTCCGTTGGTCCTGGTCAGGGCGTCCCGGAGCCCAAGCGCTTGCAACTTCAAAGCGTGTCTGCGCTTCTCTCTCGCGCTCCAAGAGGGCTCCAAGATTGTCAATTAAAAAAAATTTAAAAAACCAGACTCGAGCTTTTTAAACTTCTTGCCAAAATCTCCAGAAGAGAACCAGGTGACTTAAACTCATCGCGAAGCTCTTTTGCTTACTTGCTGAGGTTTTGAGCTGCGTCTAAACCACGACATAGGCAGTCACAACAGGAACATAGGAATAGAAAGAAAAGAAGCATACCACGACAAGGCTGTCAGGATCAGACCAGATGATTTGATCTCGAGGGCGATTTTGATCGGAAAGTATGGTATAGCTTCAGAGAAGATCCTGTGCATGCAGAGGTGATCTTGATATTATGACCGATGAGAACGAAAAATCTACAAGAAAGACAAACTTTGGAGCGAGCTTGCGTTTGCATATGCCCATCCCCGGTATCTTGTTTGAATATTTCGCCATGACAAACGACTCCAGGGAGACGCACTATTATGGCTTGTTTTCTGTTTGAAAGGTGATCAATCTTTTGCTGGATCAGAAAGACCAGTGCATCCGGCATGGAGGAAAGTTTGCGCAAGCGTTTAGAGCCTCTCTCTTACAGGCTAGAAAGAAAACTGAAGCTTTTCGTGAATTCGTGCTTGAGAACATCGAATGAATTGCCTTGGGTGGTCTTTAAGAACCAGCAACACAGCCGTAGATTGGGATCCTCAACGCCTCGGCAACATTCGGACGTTCACTAAGTGTTGAAGTGGCTCAAGAAAACAGAAGTAGTCCATAGGCATGACAGCGCTGGCTTCAAGGCACAACAGACACGGTATGTAAGATCAAAATCAAAACTTTGCATTAACGAGCAGCGCGAGCAGTACATAAAAACCAGACTCGGGAAAGCTTAGCTTAGATGATGCCAATCTTGTTCGCCACATCCAAAGCGTCGATGTCTGCTGTAAGCCTCACGTACGCCTTCTTCAGCCCATCAGGTCTGGAAAAAAAAACGAAAGTGGTAAGCCCATGAATGAAAACAATGAGAAGCTGGAAAGCCAAAAATCAATCAGACAAACGAACCAAGAAATGGTAAGCCCACACACGAAGAAGTGAATCGAAAAGACACACTAGACTACCACCGAGGAAAGAAAGAAAGAAAGATTACCTGATCAGCGTGTTCACCTTCTTGGTCTGGATATCGTACATCATCTTCACGGCGTTCTTGATCTTCTTCTTGTCGGCCCGGATGTCGACGATGAAGACCAGGGTGTTGTTATCCTCGATCTTCTTCATGGCCGACTCGGTGGTGAGCGGGTACTTGAGCACCTTGTAGTGATCCAGCTTCTCGCGATTTGGGGCGCTGAGGCGGGGATACTTGGGCGCTCTCGCCTGCTTCAGGGTCTTGGGCCTGTGGAACGTCACCGAGGTCCGGACCCTCCTCCGCCGGATCTTGGGGGCCGGATTCTTCACCGCCTTCGCTGCCTTGGCGGCCTTGGATTTGGCATCCTTGCCTAGAACACAGCGGCGATTCGGTATGGACGAAATCGAGAGAGAATGCGGCGATTACCTTTGGCTGTCGGAGGCGCCATCGCTCGTCGCCTCTAAACCCTATCCCCGGCGGCGCCAAACCCTAGAACAATAGCCCTAAACCAATATATTTGTTTTAGCTTAAACGCGGTTATAGTTATAGTAAAACAGAGTTTATTAAGCAGATGCTATCGCCTGTAAGGCACATATCTATGGTCCTTCGCAGCGTTCTTTTGCCTCCTCTTCGCGAGGAAATTTTCGAGCTTTCCGCAGGTCTGCAGCCCAAATTTTTTTGCCAGAAGATGAAAAACCTGGGAGAAAGAAAGGAGAATGTCTACTCTCACCTTTAATTCTTTGTACTTTTCGATCAGAGCAGCTCGTCGTTTGTCAGCTGCACGAAGAAAAATGAGACGATTTAGACAAAAGAGTGTGAGGGTGATTGGTTTCGAGCTTACATTTCTTCATGTAGAATGGCTTCTTTCCCTGCTTGACTAGTTCTCGTTCCATCCTTTTTTGCTCGGCTGCTTTTTCGGCATGCTTTCTTCTGTCCCTCTCAGATTGCAGCTGCCTTTCCTGCGATTCAAAGACTACACTAGAAATCGCCACACAATTCAGGACTTTACCATCAAAGAGATTTCGTTTTTCTTCTCGGAAATCAGCTCGGGATCTTTCGCTTTCTTCAATGACTTGAAGAGTTCCTAAGGACAACGATATATATCCGTAACTGTGATTTTCTTGAAGGAACTAACTCACTTGTCGTTCAGCTGGGAGCTGTTCGTCGTAAATAAAATTGTATGCCTTTTTAAACCTGTAAAGTTTCATCAGTAGAAAATTTCACAGGTGCACGCAAACCACTACCGCGATTCATCGTAGTCTCCGCACAGCGATTCGAATCGAGGATCACGTATCACCTGTAAGAAAGAAGAAAAAAAGAAAAAAAAAAGAACTCATCAAGTCTCCAGAAGAAAAAAAATAAAGTCTTACTCGTTTTGATGTCTGCATCACGTCCCTGAATCTGCCAACCGGCTTCTTACTCGAGATTTCCATCGGCCTGGAGCAAAAACCTCCAATTTATCATTTTCTATTGAAGCACAGAACCACGGGATACCTGTTCTTATTCAAGCGTTTCAAGTCTGCCTTTGTTTTGCCCCGAGCAATCTTTGAATGCCCCTCGGCTTTTGCCTTCTGGAGAAGCTCGAATGGAACATCCGCGACCGCACACCGCAACATTTCTTCCTGGAATCCAAACACTGAGCCCTACTTCATTTTGGAAAAAAAGAAGAATCCCGCGTACTCACCTCTTCCGACCCCTCTGATCCCGATAACGATCCATCGCCCTCGTCGCCTCGATCTCCAGCTACTTGATCTTCTTCTTCTTCCTCCTCCTCCGATGCGCTCGCTGCCAGCGCCTCATCGTCCTCTTCCCCTGACATTTGGTAGCAACGAAGAACCCTAAAAACCTCTAAACGTTTCAAAGATCGGACGGACAACACTCTGCCACGTCGGCAGCTACATTCTTGCGTATTTGGCCAAAGAAATTCGGGTTAAAAACATTGGGCCCTAAAAATAACATTCCAGTGACTTTGGATTGCGATGTGTCGCCGATGAATGCTCGCGCTCGTGGCGGCGCGATGGCATTCACATCCCTGGCGCTGCCCACACTCGTCTGGATCCTCGTCGCCTGGCTCGTCGCGCTCCACTTCTTCACAGGTTGGATCTCCTCGCCCTCTGCCGCCACTGCGCGGAGCAATCGCCGTAAGGATAGGGATAATCCGGTCGCCAGGCTGAGCGATCTCCTCCGCTACTCGGAGCTGGAAGAGATTGAGGAAATTCCGGTGTTCTCGGTCAGGAGCAGCAGTGGCAAGAAGCACAAGAAATCTTCCAAATCCGCCAAATCGGCCATTTCCGACGATCCTTTGAGCGAGCTGTCGCCGGACAGGCGCCTGTTCTACTTCCCGGATCGAAATCTGGCCGCCGTGGATCCGAGCAGCAGCAGCGAGGAGGAAAGGGATATTTTCTTTCCAGGGAGAGAGTGGAGGGATGTGGATGGATTGCCGATACAAGCACACGGGGGTGGGATTCTCTACATTCCCGAGACGAGGACATTCTATTGGTATGGAGAGAACAAGCAAGGACCGACTTATCGCCTCCACAAAAAATCCAGCGCTCGGGTAAGTTTCGTTTACTTTGCTTCGCGTTCACTTTCTTTCTCCCTCGCGTTGTTTGCATCACGATTTCTCTCAGGCATTGATCGTTTGTTCGTTCTTTTCTCTATTGTGTTTTTTTTTTCCTTGGTGCCTGTCATGATCGTCTTTCGTTGTTTGCATCTCTCGGGCTGGTCGTTCTTTTCTCTATTTTTTGGTGCTTGTTATGATCGTCTTGCTTTCATAGTTTCCGTGAAATAGATCTCTGGGACATGTGCTTTTCATGACTTTGTATTGTTCATTTCAACGTGACGTACTCTTGCAAGCTTTACAAAAGATTCTCGCGGACTGTGTCGTTCTTGACAAAATCGATCCTTCACGATCGATCAATAGTGTTTCGCTATTCGCTTTTGTCGTCTAGAACTCCAGTAGTTGTATTTTTCTTTCGCTTTCTCTCACCACTGTAATTTTAAACTGTCCACAGGTGGATCTGATAGGCATCAGCTGCTACTCCTCGCAAGACCTGTGGCGCTGGAAGAACGAGGGCCTGGTTCTCAAAGCCGACACCACCAACACCAGCAGCGATCTCCACACCAGCAACGTCGCCGAGCGTCCCAAAGTCATCTTCAACGATCACACCCGGCAGTTCGTCATGTACTTGCACATCGACAACGCAAACTATTCCAAGGCCAGCGTCGGGATCGCGACGAGCTCGTCTCCCCTCGGCCCCTTCACGTACCTGGGCAGCACGAAACCACACGGCTTCGATAGCAGGGACATGACCATCTTCAAGGACGAGGACGATGGCTCCGCCTTCCTCGTCTACTCGTCGCAATCCAACAGCGAGCTCCACATCTCCCAGCTCACTCCCGACTACCTGGGCCTCTCTCCAGCAGTCTCGCGCGCGCTCGTCAACCAGCACAGGGAAGCTCCGGCCGTCTTCAAGCACGGCAACTTCTTCTACATGATCACGTCGGGGTGCACGGGGTGGTGGCCGAATCAAGCGCTGCTCCACGCGGCCGAATCGATGCTGGGGCCGTGGGAGACTCTGGGCGATCCGTGCGTGGGTGCCTCGGACGAGTTTCGGCTCACCACCTTCTTCTCCCAGGTCGCGTTTGTTCTTCCGCTGCCGGGGCTGCGAGATCTATTCGTGTTCGTCGCCGATCGCTGGAACCCGGGGAATCTGAGTGACTCGAGATACGTGTGGCTTCCACTCACGATCGATGGGCGTCTCGACGGCCCCCCGGAAGACGATAGCTTCGAGTTCCCAATGTGGTCTCGTGTGTCTGTGCGGTGGCACAGGAAATGGAAGCTCCCGGAACATTGGAAGAACGCGAGCCTTGACGACGACGAAGGTGAAATTTCCTTGTAAATACTTTTTGTTATATTTTAATCGATAGAAATTAGGGTTTTTCACGGCTTTGTTCGAATTTCTTGTTCGCGGGAAGCGCTTGCTTTGCAAATGGCACTTGGGTATGATCTATTGGTACGCATCTTTCTCTCGATCGGCTGGGAATCACTGCTGCAAGCCCGCCGCGTCTGCAAGGAGTGGAGAGCCATCATCAAATCCGCCGAGTTTAGGGCGCTGTGGCGGCCGCGTTCGAGCGACGAAGACTGTGTCCTCCTCACGGCTTACACCTCCCACTGGCAGCATCACCCTCGACCACTCCACGTCTGCGCCTGGAGCCCCAAGTCACGCGTCGTCTCTCCGCTCCCGGCGTGGATGAAGCTCCCGCTCCCGCCCGGATCCTTCTTCGACATCGTCGCCTCCTCGGCAGGCCTGGTGCTCATCCGCCAGCCGTCTTGGCCCGACCGCGAGACGCCCGGGGTGGAGTTCACGGTGGGCAATCCGGCAACCAACGAGTGGGTCAGGATCCCACGCCTGGATCAGCAGCAAGCCGGTCGAATCTACAGCATGACTGCCGACCCGGCGAGTGGGGAGTTCAAGCTGCTAGACACCCATAACAGGCGTGTCTACGAATCAAGCTCGCGGGCCTGGGGCCCGATCCTGAGCTTGCCTGACATCGCCGACACAGGCGAACTCAACGCTAGGACAGATACGCTGGGGTGTCTCCCTTTCGTGTGGGAGCACAAGGGAGTGCGCTACCGGGCGTGCGCAATCGCTGATACCAATATCACGTACAAGGTGTGGGTGTGGACAGGCCAGTGGCGAGGGGTTGCGAACGATGTCTTGGACCTCTACTTCGACTCCATGGATGGCGCTGGTCAGTGGCTTGGGGTTGGGAGCAGTGATTTGGACGAGACGGGTCTCGACATTGACTGCTCCATGGCGCTCGAGTGCCAGGCTGAGGGCAATCTCGTGTGCCTGGCCGGCCAGTGCCGCGATCGTTACGGTGAGAAGTGGGCTGACGAAGGTGGCGAGCCTTTGCCACCCGTGGTCTACGACTTGGATCGCGACGAGTGGATGTACGTCCGTGCCAAGAGCGGCGAGGGTGTGCAGTACCGGCGGGCGGTGGTTTACCGCCCCTCGCTTGTCAAGCCCTCTGGCGTGGAAGGAGCTGTGGCGCTTGATCCCGAGGGTGGCGAGGGGCACAAGCGCAAGGAGGAGCAGCAGCCGCTAGACACGGTTCGCAGGATCCGGCAATGCAGGGCGAAAGCACTCGGCAGCGTGGAGGCTGAAGTGTTTGAGGACATCTTCTTCATGATGTAAGAGTATTCTGGAGCTCATGCCTTCGAGCTGCTGTGACTGCCATCTAAATCGAGGGCTCAAAGCTACAATCGAGTTTACTGCGCTGCTTAGAGAACGCAGGGACTGGGAAATCTATCTAGCAGAGGAGGAGATGGAGAGGCTGACAGTGAAAAAAAAAATTCCAGTTTGATGACCAACTAGAAAAACTCTGTCGTTGGCTCTTGACGTCGTAGCCGTACTCATACTTCCAAAATCAATGAGCGCTGCCTGGATCTGCAAAAGAAGAAGAAGTCGTCGAGTCTCTCAGCTTTCTTTCAAGTGCCAGGCGAAATTCTCTCACAGGCAGTCTCACGCGCAATGGGAAACGCACGGCAAGTTTTTACCTGGTGGCCGAATCAAGCGCTGCCGAATTGATGCTGGGACCGTGGGAGACTCCGGGTGATCAGTGCATGGGTGCACCAGAGCTGCGAGATCTACGAGTCGACGCAGACGATAGAGTGATCACAAGAAAAAGGCTTGTAAATACGTTTTTCACCTTTTCCCGCGGATGAACTAGAGCGATTGTTGGGTATGATCTTCTGGTACGCATCTTCCTCTGTGGAGAGCGCTACATGGCGTGCGTAATTGCTGTCTTCAACGATAACGGCATCACGTACAAGGTGTGGAGCGTGGATGGCGCTGGCCTGTGCCGAGAGGTTGCGAGCAGTGTCTTGGACCAGACGGGTCTCTACATTGACGGCTCCATAGCGCTCGAGTGCCAGGGCGAGCGCATTGCGGCGTATGCCCAAGCCAGGCGATCAAACTGTACCGTTTTCTTTCTCTACGTCTTGCTCGAGTTAGGACGAGGCTCTTCATACCGTCTTGGATCCAATCAAACTTTGCGAACATTTTGATACTATATGCAATCCGTTGCAACGTGTTCAAGGGTGTTGCCAGATGGTTAAAGCTCACATAAGTGACGAGAACAAACTTGCAAGCATGAAAAACTTAGGAACCACAACAGCCTAGTATCAGTAACTAGCTAATGTAGTATCATTCACAGCTGACTTGTCAGGATACTAGTACGTATTCCAAGAGAATAAAGTACAAGTTATAACATATGCTCCTGGATTTGTAGTTCTCTACTGTCAGTTATTCAGATAGAGAATCCAAGAGCCAGTGGTGCTCCAATGGATTTCCTAATTATCTGCTAAGTTGAGATGTCTAGTCCACAAGGCGTGTGTTCAAATCTAACTCTCAACGGAAGTAAAAACTAAATTTTGGGAGGAGGAAGAAAACTTGCAGATGGAGCGTGTTGGGTGTGACTTGTTACTGGCGTGGAAGGAGCTCTGGCGCTTGAGAAAGGGTGGAGGGGCACAAGCGCAAGAGGGAGCAGCAGCCGGCGGACACGGTTCTTCGAGCTCGAGCAGTGGAGTTTCGATTCAACCACCTTTTGTTCTTCCCGCTGCCGGGGCTTTGAGATCTTTTCGTGTTCGTTGGTTTCCACTCACGATCGATGACATCCATTGATCGTTGGTAGCCATCTCCGCTACTCGCTCGCTCATCCTCGACGTCCACGATCTTGCTCAAGTGTCATCGTTCTTTGGCAAAGTGAGCTGAAAGTGGAAGAGAACTGGACCAAACAAACAAAGAAGTTTGAGCGATAAAACTAGAACGAAGTTTGTAAGTTTGTGTTTGTACCTGGATCTTGCTCGGAAGTAGGCGAGTAAAGATTAGTTCTTTTGTCAGCCAAGCAAGAGAAAACTTACTGTGATCTGCTACGAAGAAAACGCGTGATAAGATTTGATATCCTTAGCAAGGCAAAGCGAAAACTTCTCTCAACTGGCACGAGCGCTGACGAGCATTTCTGGTGAAAATAACTCAATCCTTCGGCAGCGTGATCCAGTCGAGCGATTGCATTCGGCGGACTCGAAATGATCTTCCGGTGCCAAACGTCTTCTCAACCTCTCGCTCCTGGCCGAGTAGAGGCACTGGTCAGCCTATTGTGCGATGCCTTGCATGAAAGGCTCGAGCTCGCTTCTTGAGCACCCCGAGGATACCGTGCTAGTTCTTTCTCCTCTCATGAAGAGTTAACTCCGTAGTTGTAAACTCTTGTGGCCTTTAGGATTTAGGAATGGAAATGGGCGTGATTGATACGTCTGTGCAAATTCTGGAAGCACAGGGCTACGAATATGTCGGAGAGTTGGAGCAGCTCACATACGAGGAAGTGATTGGCGTCAAAGTGCCTCTCTTTGCTGCTAAGACGCTGCAGCCGCTCCTCAAACAGCCAGGTATGTGCATGGTTTTTCAGTTTCCAGTGCCTTGATTTTGATTTGGGTGGTATGGCTGCATTCTGAGTGATTCTTTTACTGATATCGTTTCGTTAGACACTTCACCCAGCGTGTTTCAAAGTCTGGGCTTACTAAAAGAGGGCTTAGAAGAGGAGCGTTACACGCCGAGGAACTCAGCAATAGAGAAGTTGTTACAATGGTAATGTTTTTCATAGCTTATATGGCTTGATTTTAGTCTTGGCATGGTTTGTATTCTGAATCAATCACAGTTAGCATATCGGGCATTAGGATGAACAGGGGTCTCATTCATCACAAGAGGCTACAAAGGAAAACACTCCCCTAACTGCCTACCGCGCCTCTAGAGAGCTCTGGAGAATATGCTATGCCAGCATATTCGTATCACTCCAAGGTGCTCGCTCAAGGAGCTCTCTCACGCCAAGTGCTTGTACGTGTCGCTGGAACAAAGCTAGAGGTAACGCCTTGGTAAAAATATCTGCAACCTGTTCTGTTGTTCCACAATGGATGAGCTCCAAAACACGCTGGTTCACTTGATCTCGAATATAATGGAACTGCACCTGGATATGTTTGGTACACCCATGGTACCTGGGATTCTTGGTGAGTGCGATAATGTCTGGTCCCCTTCAAGTAGCGAAAGATGCGTTTGACTGCCAACCAATGAGGAAATCCTGGAGTCTCGAGAAACTGGGGACACTGCTCCCGCTGAAAAAGCCAAACCTGGCTGGCCGCATGCAGCCCATCAGGTAGACTAAGCTGCCAACCATCTGCGGTACGGTATCTGCTTCATCTTCTCGCATTCCTCGACTGTTTGTGGGACTTGATCTTTGCTGAGATGGAGGCCGGCTTCCATAGGAGTTGACGCTTCATTCAGGTCAGCAAGATGAAACCTCTCCAAGATATCGTCAACATACTTCTGCCTGCCTGTCGCGTATAATCTCGATCCCGAAACAATATTTCACTGATCCAAGATCCACCATCTTAAATCGTGCCTGTAGCTCACGCTTGAGCTGCTGCAAAGCTATGCGAGTTGAACCGACTAGTAGACAATCGTCTACATAGAGTGCAAGATAAATATATGTCATACCTGACTTGCGAAGATAAACGTTAGAATCTGCTGAAATACTCACAAAACCGGTGGAGAGTAGATAGCTGTTCATCTTATCATACCACTGCCATGGAGACTGATATAAAGCCTTCTTAAGCTTGCACACCTTCATATAGGACATAAACCTCCTCGTCAAGATCGCCATGGAGAAACGCTGTGGTTACGTCGAGCTGCTCCGCTTCTAAATTCTGCTGGGCTGCAAGATTGAGTAGCAAGCGGATAGAGACCATATTCGCGACAGGAGAAAACGTTTCATTGTGAGTATCCCTTTGCTACAAGTCTTGCCTTGTACTTGAGAAGTTTCTATCAGCTCCAGTCTTGATTCGAAAAAGCCACATAGTCTTGATCGGTTTCCTTCCAGGAGGTAGGTCGA